GTTAAGTGTAATGAGCTTCACTTTTCTGTAGCTTATTTAAATACAAGAGCTCAGTGAATTATATGCACAAGACCTATTTTTGGGGAGCAGTTGCCATTCATGTAAAAAAAAAAAACCTGGCAGTGGCTCTTTTGCGGCGGTTTACAACTTAACAAATTTGAATTTCTGAACAAGCCTCCACTGTGTAATTGTGTAATTGTGTAATATTAAAGTGACAGACATCTCAGTTAAGATCATTTTTTATTAAAAAGTTTACATTTTGCTTGGAGAGTACCAGTGAGGAGGGAGGGGTGCAAGAGTGGCAGGAATATTTTTTGTTTTAAAGCTGAATATCAGAAAAAAATTAAAGTAAAGATTTTTTATTTTATAAATCAAATTCAGAGGAGTTTCAGCATCTATTGTGTGTCCCATAGAAAATATTGAAAATCTATACTGTACTACTACATGTACAATACAAACTACAATATAATTCTGAATTGTAAACCAAATGGGAATCAGTGAGAAAAATACATGGGGGCTCGGGTGAATTAGCCCCCGAAATGCTAAAAAGAGCCCCCGAAAGTTTGCATAGAGTTCAATGCAAAACAAATTAAAGATTGTAATTTTCATGCAATCAAGCTTGAAAAGTAGCCCCTGAAATTGTTAAAGTATTTTTTTTCCCTGATGGGAATACAATCTCTATGGCAAATGCCTAAATACATTGATCAGTATCATAACAATGACCCCTCCCCCCCCCCCCCCCCCCCCCAAAAAAAAAACCCTCACCAACTGCCAGTAAACCCAGACCTGCCAACCCTCTGGAGTTCAAAAACTGTACTCTTTAATACCAAAAGTTGTATTCTTAAAATTAAACACGGACTGTAACGCGGAAGAAATTTTTTTTATGGATCATCGGTTGAATATGCATGTCACCACGACTGTTGTGTTCAATTACTTCAATGAACCAATGAACTATCCCCAAATTGCCGATGTGAGATGCTTGTAGGATACTTTACAGGACAGCGTAGGCATTTTGCCATTGAAAATGGCACACACACCAAAAAAGAAAGAAAGAAGTATTTCATTGAGGAAAATCGTACTGTCGTATTTGCTTCTAAAAATTGTACGAAATACAACTAAATCGTACTGGTTGGCTAAACCCTGTAATATTGTGAACTACTGTACTGTACATTGTACTCTGCAACCACCCTGGAAACCACCCTGGAAACCGCAGACTAAAAGTGAACATACAATAAACAGCAGTGGGCGAGAGCCAGGTCTTTTGTATTTCCTTCCTACACAGTGAGGGAGGTCACACTTCACTACCATATCTATTCTAGGAGGAAGTTCCTCTCCAAAATTCAACCCAAAGCCAGGTCCCCAAACAAAACACAAATATGTAGGCCTAGATACTAGGAATCTAAGTATCTTTAATACCCTGGGTTCAGCTACCAGAAGTTAGGACTTAATTCAGGAACTTTAAATCAATCTAGATCTAAGGAGACACGAATGAACGAGCTACCAGAATTCATGGTACAGATACATGTACGTGTACATGATCTAGCTACATGTAAATGGATATGATATGTAATAACAATTTACATAGTCTGAGCGTCGCATACAGAAACGATTTATGGCGAAAGGTTGTATAGCGAGCATCATTTCGAAAGAAAACTATTAAAATAAAGAGCCATGCCCCCGCTGCACCCGTAAGCCATCTCGTATGACAATCATACAACTGGATGGGGCTTATTAATATTAGTGAAAATTAGCAAAATAGCCCCGGAAATGCCCAAAAGAGCCCCAAAATTTGCATAGAATTCAATGCAAAACAAATTTTAGAATGTTAAATTCATGCAGGCAAGCTTGAAAAGTAGCCCCCGAAAAATAATTTTTTTCCCTGTTATGAGAGCGCACCGATCATCTGATGATTGGCTAGCTGTCATGTCATGCAAATATAATGTGAGCGCACAGCACAGGCAGTGATGTCGTCAATGTTTTTTTAGATGCGCATGTTGCGTCACTGCCTGTGCTATGCGCTCACATCATATTTACATACATTTACTCGTAAACCACTGACCTCCAGAGGTCAATGGTTTGTTTACCCATATATTAAAATGGCGCCCATGTCTGCATGCGCATTGTTGTAACCATAAAACGGCGTATTGTGACACTATGGTAGCTTAAAAGAGGAAAAGCATGAGGAAATACTCAGGATTAATTATGGAATATTGAAATGTTGCAAGTCCTTTTCTATCTGTTTTTACAACTTACACTTTCCTGTACCGGTCTTTATTTTAAACTGTTAATTCTGTGTTCCCAAAATAGACAGGGCTCTAGTTCTACACAAACATTATAGGGGGTCTGTACTGAAATGTTAGGGCCCATATTCACATAATAATGAACCCCATGTTAAAAAAGAGAAGAGTATGAATTTACAAATAGTACCAAAAAATAGAAGAAAAAAAAAATAAAGTGAAAGGCGTAAATATTCTAAAAAAGAATGAAACGCCGATAATACCAAACAACAACAACAACAACAACTTCTTAAATTTTAGTTTTGGGGCACAGGTACAGGCACAGCAGTCTTATTTTTTTTTTTTGGGGGGGGGGGGGGTGGGGGTGTATGTTAAGTGTTGAGCTCTGCATATATAAATACCGGTAGATGAACTCTGTACTTCATGAAGTTATTCAGCTGTCCTCTTTCAATTTGCAAAACCAATAATTGCACTTTTGCAATCTGCACCCTTTGAAACAGATTACATGTAAATAGATCAAATCTGATTGAGCTCATTTCCCGACCTTGTTCTGTCAATCTCAAAGATTTGTAGATGAATGTGTGAAATTAGGTATTTGGGTTATTGTATCACTACATATTGGATTATGTTTATATTTTTATTGACTCAATATACCCTTTTATAATTTATACAGTAGTTGGGTTTTTCTTTCACAGGGGGGGGGGGGGGGATGAGATTTAAAAATTTATGATCTGTATGCAATGGCCCCTATTTAAACTTTTAAATAAATGGGGGGGGGGGGGGAGTGGGTCCAATACAAAGACTCCAAAGTAACAAATTTGGGGCCTTTATGTAATAGATCCCTGGTAAAGTAAGCCCTACACAAACATGTAAAAACACAACACTTAGTACAGGAAAACCATTATTGAAAAACCTTTGTCTTTTTAGACTGCAATTTAAAACCCATTAAAAAAACGTCAGTTTTATAGTCATATTGCTTTCCATGCATGTGCCATGTACCAGTAGAGTTTTTGTATATTCATTCTATTAAAGCTGATAGATACGTCTACATGTAGGTATCTGATGACTACAAACAATTTTACTGGTGCAAATCCAATGTCTTAGGCTCTATAGCAGTAGGAATAAAATCTCTAGTCATAAGGGAGAGGGGGAGGGGTGGTACTAGCTACTATGTTTACATGTAATGTATTAAAATGCAAATGAAGTAGTACCATTCCCTTTGTTAAATAATATGAATATTAATCCAGCGATGGACCTATTGTATTAAGGAACGAACTCTTTGCAGTGGTGTACTGATGAACTATTGGAGGGCATTATAAGACATAGTCTTACTAAGGAGCCCGAAAAGACAGGTGCATACAGCCAGGTGAATACTTATAGATGCCAAACCCACTTCAAATCAAATGCTCAAGGTGAATTTGAGATGAAAATAAAATTATTTTAAAAAAGATCAGGAGTAAGATAGAACGGCATCTGCAAGAATCTTCAGTATTGAAGGAGGCAGATTATCTTGAAGAAGAAGAAGAAGAAGGGCATAGGCCTAGGCCTACACTACAGAAATGAAAGATAGAGTTAGAGAACTATTAAGTTTGTAAAATCAAACAGATAAGTTTTAAGATTATTTTTTGAACACTTAGGCTGTTGGGTGCCCAAAATCTAGGTCCTCAGAGATCAGGACCCAAAAATTGTAGAAATTCTACACAACTAAGGCTTAGCTTAAGTTAATAGTTTTTGATAATTGATATGGACTCGAAATTTTCAGTCCGGATCCTGAACAAAAAAATGTTAGAGTGGAGCTCTGGAACTTTATAGTAGCAAAATAGACCTTTATCTAGAGTCTATATTTTGGTACACTTTTTTAAACATGAATGATGAAGCATTTATTCCTTCTAACTTTATTTTCCAGCCCATGTTTCGTTTCAATTCAAAATCAAATCGAAAGACATTTTGAATTTGATTAGTCTAGAGACCAGTCTAGATCTAGTCTAGTCATGTTATAATTCATTTTTTTCTACTTGTAACCTGAAAAATACAGACTTAATTCAATTTTAATGACAAGACATCGAGAGCTAGTACTACGCCACACTTACTTTTTGAACACTTTCTCGAACTCTTTGATTTGTTTCCTGGTGAACTCCTTGAATTCTGTGTACACGTTGAACACCTGCACGCGGCGCGAGTCCCCCTGCTCATCCCCTTCGTTTATCCGATCTCGGCGGGCCAACTTCTGTGCCAATTCGTCGGTCGCCATACTCTCGCCTTTTACTCTTTTTCACAGCTTACGATGAAAAATCTTTAAAAACTACGCAGGTCCAACCTAGATCCGTATGTTAGCTACCCAAAATTTGGTCCGATTCTCGTCATATGAGGTAAAAGGGCCTAGAATTAACTTAAGTTATATCTTCTACTTTCTAACGTTCCCGTCTAGCTCCTCTTGTGGTTGTAAGGTTGTCTGAGCATGCATGCAGGAAGTAGTGTGTACGACGTACGTACAGCGCATGCATGCATGCAGCAGATACGCTTTTGCATATATGCAGCATGTACTGTGCAAATGCACGGTGTGCTCAAATGTATGGTGGCCCTGAAGGGACATCGCGAATAGACTAAATCGCGAAAAATTGGCGATAAAATTCACGATATTGTAAATTTTATCGCCAATTTTTCACGACGAAATTCACGAAATTCACGATATCGTGAACTTTATCGTGAAAAGTTCACGATAAAATTGACGATATCGTATATTTTATCGTGAAAAGTTCACAATAAAGTTCACGATAAAATTGACGATTTCGTATATTTTATCGTGAATTATTTTCTCCTGGCCTGGGCGGTTCGTAAACAAAACCAGCCCTAGCTAGCTTGATTGAAGACGATTATTATGACGAGACGTTTTTACGATGATTTCTGTGAAAATGGTAGGTTTAACTTCATATTATACTCTATTTGTATTTTATCTTTGACAAGATAGGGATAAAAGTAATTGCACAGCGGAAAAATTACCCGGTATGCAATTAATGGTCTAGATCATAGATGCACTCAATGGCAATGCATTTTCCCATACATTCATTTCCATGTTGTAATATCCTGATATAGAGTCTAGATCTAGGTCTAGACCTAGTATTGAGTTATGTAATTGATCTAGATCTCGATCTAGGCCTACTTTTATTAGTAGGCCTACGAACTAGCACACTCAATTTCTCAAACTGAGTCTACAAAGACTGACAGAGTCCATTGCAATAGCACACTCGTACTCGTCGACTAGACGCAAACTGAGCTGAGCTGAGCTGATTCAATTCGATGTAGATATTAGGCAAGCACCAGATCTAACTGTTATAGATCTACAAATCATGATAGATAAATACAAGGGATCGTTTAACAATGTTAAGTCTGACTCTGAGATGCAATCATGCATGGCCCTAGATCTATGTGTTATTTATAATATTACTAGATCTATGTCTGTGATACAGTGTAATATCATTATTTTATGACAAGATTAGGGGCGCTGGTCCGAGAATGAGGATCGTCTGCATAAACAAGGATATCCTAGTCGTAAAAACGGACAAATTGCGTTCGCGAACGTCTTTTTTTCATCGGCACTCTGCGGGTTTCAGGTTCCCAGCGCGGGCATCAGGATTCAGGGCATGCAAAAAAACAGATTCCTTGTAAGAAAATAACCCCAGTCTCCTTGGCACTTGTTCAGAAACGTGTCTAAAATTTGACCCGTAACTCCGGCGTGGAGATACCCTACTATAACATACCCAAAATGAAGTAAATATTCATTAAATGTCCATATAAGATCATGAGTTAAAAGTCGTTATGTTTATTACCTGTTTCGTGTCAATTTTTTTGTCATTTTTGGAGTATTTTTTGGAATAACAATGATATTACTAGATCTATACACTTTTTCTCAGGTTTCACGGCAAACCGCTGCACAATACAAGTGCAATAGTTTAAACATATTTGTGGCTTACACCCAGTAAATAAGATCGATTGATCGATCCGTAATTGAAAAACAAGTCAGAAAAAATCTTGGAACCAGCGGGATTTGAACCTGCCATCTACTGCTTGCCGGGCAGGGACTCTACCACCAGGCCATCACTGGTCCATGGCACAGTCACGATGAACTAGAAACAAATACCCAAGGGCTCTCCTGATTCATTCTGACTTATTAATATTCATTAGTCCGCCATAGGACAATAACTTTTATAAATGTAATGCTTCCTGGGAGAAATTTCAATAGTTTAAACATATTTGTGGCTTACACCCAGTAAATAAGATCGATTGATCAATCTGTAATTGAAAAACAAGTCAGAAAAAATCTTGGAACCAGCGGGATTTGAACCTGCCATCTACTGCTTGCCGGGCAGCGACTCTACCACCAGGCCATCACTGGTCCATGGCAGGTTCAAATCCCGCTGGTTCCAAGATTTTTTCTGACTTGTTTTTCAATTACAGATTGATCAATCGATCTTATTTACTGGGTGTAAGCCACAAATATGTTTAAACTATTGAAATTTCTCCCAGGAAGCATTACATTTATAAAAAAAAAAAAAATACAAGTGCAGTTCGATGGTGAGTTGCGGGCGGGCGCACGCCTGTGTGAAGTTATCTACCGTAATGAGGATCCGAGACATTACTTCACACAGGCGCGCATCCGCCCGCAACCCACCATCGGTTTGCACTTGTATTGTGCAGCGGTTTGCCGTGAAAAGGTGTAGGTATACTGATATCATCGTTTTTCCGAAAAATACTCCAAAAATAACAAGAAAATTGACACAAAACAGGTAATAAACATAACAACTTTTAACTCACGATTTTTATTTGAATACCTTGAATACCTTGAATACCAAAGCTTCTGGAAGAAAGCCGTCTCCAGCTGCCAAGCTTCCAGGTCTAACTTCAAGGGGGGGGGGGGGGGGGGGATGTCCCAGCTTGGCCGGGTCTTGCACCATAGTCATTTTACATCTGAATCTTGCTTGCTGGGTCATATCAGGATTGTCATAATTGGAGTGTCAACTGGGAGAAGGGTGAATGATATTGCTCCTTCTTCCAGTGTTTGGACATTTAATGAATATTTACTTCATTTTGGGTATGTTTTAGTAGGGTATCTCCATGCCAGAGTTACGGGTCAAATTTTTGATAGGTTTCTAAACAAGCGCCATCTTCTTTTATGGGTTGTCCGTCTTCTCGAGGATTTATCGCCCCTTATGTGAAAGTCTCTGTACAAAATTAAGTCAATGTAAAATGCATCAATAAAAACATCGAGGAATCCGTTTTTCGCATCACCAACGCGCGGATTGGAAATTGGAAACGTCTGCGAAAATGCAGATGATCCTTATTCTTGTACCAGCTTCCCTACTGAATATTGAAGCCCTAAACAAATTTCGCTTCAAAATGATCATGAAGTGGCTCAAAAAAGTAATAATCTTTGAGTGACCGGTTTTACCATACTTATTTTCCTGAATAGACTAGGCTCAGGCCCTAGTTTATCAAAACCGTTAGGAAAACGCAAAGTTTAATTTCGATTTCCAATCATAAATAACTTGATAATCAGACAGACGATTGGTTTGTAAAAGGCACGGGATTCCTGACTGACCTAACAGAGGCTAAGCTAAAGGTTTAAAGGTTTAAAATTATGATTGCAGCATGAGCTAAATCCATGATTTTGTTTCAGAATCTGAGGCAATGTTACCGAGTCACTTTAAGTTAGATCTATATTACTATTAGGTATTTACTAGTCTATTTAGTGAATTTCGGCTAGCACCCAGGCCAGGGGCCGGTTTCTCGAAACCGTCATAAGTCTAACTTCTTGACCAAATCAGCTTTAGTAAGCTACTTGTCCGCTACATGTTTAACTAAGACCTCTTTTCCAAGATTAAGGACAACATCCTGACTAAGTACTACCGTATGTACTTTTTAGTTGATGGGCAGCGAACTCGTAGAGTCCTATGATGCATGAAGTCTAACCGTAAACGCTAAAGGGTAATCCAATCACAGTGTGATTATCTTACCAAAATTCATCTCTTGGAGTGAAAAAAAAAGTGTTATGATGTTTTTCTTTTTGTTTTATAATGTGCAAAGTTTATCACTAGATTTTGTTTGCATATGTTTCTTTTATTATTCATTCAACAGATTACCTGGTTTGCATTCATGCAAGCAAGCCCTACAACTTGTAGTACAACTGCCATGTATCAACACTCCATACAAACCAGCTCAGGATGATGGGAACTAAGCTGAATGTATCCTTATTGAGTGTATGCGTTGAAATGATAACAAAATAAAAATTATCTTAGATAATGATGGGTTATAGATTGCTAAGCTGCTGTTACAGACACTGATGTTGTTTCCCTTCATATCCCTCGCATTCCCTTCTCTTTAACAACCCCTGGGGGCTGGCATAAGATGTTGTTTTCTTTATGAAGGAGTGTTACTACAGTCGAACGGCTTGTAATGCTTTTTTTTTAATTGTCCTTGCTAAAAACCTTGTTGATACATATGATAATATAGTTGGGAGAATTCCGGAATTAAGCAGATCATTTTTTCAAATTTTGATCATTAATGATAGCCTGTTTTCACTCAAACTTTCAGATTATCTTTAAATGTATATCGAGCATTGAAGTCACTACCTTATCACCATTTTCTCTCATCTGAACAATGTTAACAAGAACCTTAAATGAAGCTTGCACAAGAAATACTTTTATTTGTAAAGGTATGAACTAGAAATGTCCAATAGACACCAGTTTAAATATAAAAAGGACTACTTTATTTTTAAGACCTGTTAGAATTGTCAATGGAGAATTGGGCAGTTACCCTTTTTGTTTAAAAGTTGAAATGCAGTGTACATACCACATGTATGCTCATCTAAAGGTCTGTTAAAATGAGATCTGCTTACTATTCATAAGGACCGCTATTCATAAGGACCGCTATTCATAAGGACCGCTATTCATAAGGACCGCTATTCATAAGAACCGCTTTCATAAGGACCGCTATTCATAAGGACCACTATTCATAATTTGAGAAAAGGGTCATTATTCATTAGGGTCATATTCAAACATGTAAGAACCGCTATTCATAATCGAATAGGAGGGTTGCTTTTCATAATGTGAGAAGAGGGTGGCTATTCATGATGCGGAATGAGGGTCGCTATTCAAAATACGAGAAAAGGGTCATTATTCATAAGGACCGCTTTCATAAGGACCGCTAATCATAAGGACCACTATTCATAATTTGAGAAAAGGGTCACTATTCATTAGGGTCATTATTCATACATGTAAGAACCGCTATTCATAATCGAAAAAGGGGGTCGCTATTCATAATACGAGAAGAGGGTGGCTATTCATAATACGAGAAGAGGGTGGCTATTCATAATACAATAAGAGGGTTCGCTATTCATAATACAGAAAGGGTCGCTATTCATAGAAATTAAATAAGCAAACAGAATTATATTAAAGGTAAAAGTTTTGGTATGGGGTCGTGAATTTGGTTCAAATGAACATATTGGAAGCACATGCGATCCTACAGTATTCAGTGATCGTTGTCGCGGTTGAAATCAAGTTTAAAGAAGAAATTGTAAATAATAAACTCTCTATGTTGTATAGCTCCCTCTAAAGGTCAAGATATTAATTTAGCATTAAAACAATGTTTCTTGACTAAAATCGACCGATTGGCTATTCCCGTTTGGAAATTATATATCACAACTGCATATTCTGAGATGTTCATTTTAGCAGCTACCATTGGATGGCCGTATAGGCATTGATATTCAAATTTTCTCGAAAGCAGAAGTGTTTAGGGGCTAAATTTTCTAGTGCTTAAATGCATCCTTAGGGCATCCAAATATATCAACATTTTCAAGAATCGCTATCCGGCCATTTTCAAAATTCCCAAAACTTTGTATTACCTTTAAGAAAGGGGGGGGGGGGGGGGAACAAATTACAATAGGTGAATAGGATTGGGTTTTACTGTATTTTTTGTCACCACAGGAGCGGGGCAGATTCATAAGCTACATGAAGGTAATGGGGATGTCTCTATATAATCATCAAAGATAAAAGGTACAATATACTTTAAAAAAAGACATACCGGTAATACAGGGTACGCCATCGTTCGCATAACGCCTAACGGTCACAATATATCATATCTTAATGGCTTAAAATCTTGAAAATCTAACTTCCTTACTTATATGGAAAATATATCTTGCTATATTGTGTATAATTTATGAAAGGATGGTATATAACCAGGCGCGGATCCAGGGGGGGGGCCAGCGGGCCTTGCCCCCCCCCCCCAAAAAAAAAAGAGAGAGAGAGAAGGAAAAGAAGGGAAAGAGGGGAGAAAGGGAAAGAAAGAAGAGGAAGAAGAGTTGCAATTTTCCCGCCAACAAGTTGTAGTTCGGGGGGGGGGGGGCAAAAAGCCCTTGCCTCCCCCCCCCCTTCCCCCACCCCTTCCCCCACCCCCCCAAAACGGGGGAAAGGAAGGGAAAGGGAAATAGGAGAGCTAAAAGGGAACAAAAAAGAGGAAGAAAAAAAGAAGGGGAGAACAGTTACGATTTTTCCCGCCAATAAGGTGTAGATCAGGGGGGGGGGGGGGGGCTTGGTTTATTTCTAATTCAATAGCGGTGATTTACAAATGCTGCTGAAATGACATAATTTTCAGAGATTTTTTCCTCAATGTTTAGTAAATTATACTTTTTTATGCGTTTGTTGGAAAATGGCAAATTCATGAAGAAAGAAAGAAAGAATAGTGAATTAAATGCCTAAAACCCTTGAGCTTCGGGGGCTCCACCCATCAACCCCACCAGGGGCCCTAAGGCGGGCCCCTGCATGCTTATGTGGCCGTTATAAAAGGCTCCGTCCCGTGGACCCCCACGCCAATTCATGTCCTGCCAGTGTCACAAATAAGGTATCAAAATATGCTCAGTTGACTGTTATTAAATGCCTATACCCCCTGAGCTTCTGGGGCTCCACCCCCTGGACCCCACACCAATTCTTAACCTGCCAGTGTCACAAATAAGGTATACAAATATGCTCACCTGACTGTAATTATTGCCCAAAGCCCCTGAGCTTCAGGGGCTCTGCCCCCTGGAGCTAACCTAATTTGTGTCCTGTCAATGTCACAAATAAGGTATGAAAAGATGCTAATCTGACCGTAATTTATTGCCCAAAACCTCTGAGCTTCTGGGGGCTCCGCCCCTGGACCCCACGCCAATTCGTGACCTGTCAGTGTCACAAATAGGGTATAAAAATATGCTCATCGATGGTAATTTAATGTATAAAACTCCTGAGCTTCTAGGGGCTCCACCCCTTGACCCCCGCAGGGGCTTCTCCCAAGACCCCACGCCAATTTATGCAATGCTCTACCTAATCGTACATACCTACCCCCCCCCCCTCACCTACTTTAGAAATGTTCAGCGGGGCCTGCATGTAAGAGTGGGGTGGTGCAGATCTTTTTTGTCTATCCCCTTGACGAAAATTGTTGGTAATATGTACTTGTCCTAAGGGAATGCTGCAGGGAGGGTGGGCCGAATGGCGCAGCGTGGTTGGACTGATTGGGGGTAGGGGTGATGTACATTATTGTAGCACGCCTTTTTTCTTTATTTCTTCAAAACTGTTTGTTTTTAATAAATGTTTTCGACAAATATTCAAGGCCATGTATCATCCCCCCCCCCCATTGCTACGCCACAGCCATGGGAGTGGGGGTGTCCCCTTTTCAAAATTCCCCTTTCTTGTTATTATTTTGTTTGCTTATTTAATTTTTATGAATAACGACCCTCATTCCGTATTATGAATAGCGACCCTCTTCCCGTATTATGAATAGCAACCTTCTTCCCGTATTATGAATAGTGATCCTCATTCCGCATTATGAATTGAGCGAGGTTACCATTTCTATAATATTGGCATCAAGAGAACTGTACTGGTACATTGGTATGCTTACGAGTCTTAATGTTCTTTTAATCAGGAACAATGTCAAAGACCTAAATGTATGACCTTTGAAATATTTCAAGTCATACATATTTTCAAGTCATTGTAAATGTGCAATTCATTTGATTTCAACCCCAAAAGTTTTCTGCAATACTTCACTTTATGTGTAAACCATTGGTAGGATCTTAACACATGAGTAACTAGTATTCCAAAGCTAACCACTTGATATAATAGATGTTAAAACAGTTATTTAGTGTATATGTGGATGCTTTTCTAAGTTTAAACAAAAATTGTTTTGCTCCTTGATTTCACAAATTCTATAATGCACAGTACTTTACCAGATTGCCTCTTACGGTAAGCAGGGTATTCATGGAGCATTATCGAGATGGCATCAGGAAGAGAGGTATGAACTATGAAACAATTTTTGTATACGTGATGTTTTTGTATTTGTTATAATTTTATTCATGGATGTACCTAACCCGAAATATAAATCTTTCAAAAACCTGGAACATTTCTTAATAACATAAAACCAACCTTCATGTATCATTGCTTTGAATGGCATGCTTATAAAATATCTGATAATGCTATTGCATAATTTTAAATCAACTGTTGGGGGCTCCTGTTTATGTATCATTATATGATTGTTTTGCACATGTAAGCGTTGCTGGGTGGAATATTATTATAGTATATATTTAATTGTATTTAGGGTTTAAACTGTGATATATTTATCTTTCCCTTTATAGTGTTCGGCAGGTGAAGCGCATTTGTAGAAGCCTCGGACTTCGACGCCACTGCCCAGAATCATCTGAACAAGACATTGCCCAAACTATTTGTCCGATGCCCTCTCGCCTTATCCTTGCTGATCACACTGTCCACCACTGCAATGTCATCAAGCTGCTCGGAGTGTTTATGCAGTCCAATATCAAATTGTGTCCTTGTAATGCCCTTATTTAACTGTTTAGCAGCTCAATAAATAGTGTACATTCAGAGCTTCTTACTAAAGGTATTACAAAGTTTTGGTAAGGGGTCTTGAATTTGGTTCAAATAAACATATTGGAAGCATATACTATCCTACAATAATCAGTGATCGTTGTCGCGGTTGAAATCGATTCTAAAGTTATGAAATTATAAATAATTAACTTTTTATGTTGTATAGCTCCCTCTCAAAGTCAATATATTAATTAAGCTATAAAACAATGTTTCTTGACTAAAATCGACCAATTAGCTATTCCGGTTTGGAAATTATATATCACAACTACATATTCTAAGATTTTCATGGTCGCAGTTACCATTGTAAGGTTAATTGTTCAATTTTTCTTTGACAAAATACATCAGTACAACAGAATTTAATCAAATTGGGCAGGGATTATTCATGAGAAATGATAGGTTGATAGGTTGATAGGTTGTTGAGGAACCCCGAAAATGTCCATACATGTATATAGCAATTTCTTTACTTTGACTCTAAAACTTAATGCTGGCACTCAATAAAATTTGACATTTGAGAGGGGATCTGAATTTGTTTGTATTGATTACCTTGCCCCTCATGAGGACTCAGGGGCAGTGCTCCCCTAAGGGTCTCTTGTACGTAGTGTTGCCAGATGTTTATGCATGAGGGGGGGGGGGTATATTAAAAAAATAATCATCTGTGGTACATTTTCGATGTAGGTACCCAAGGGCACAAGTGATAATATAGTAATATAATATAGTAATTGATGTGGCCACTAATTTTACAGGCTCTGTTAAACACAAGGTCCATTGATCTCTTGTTATACATGTATGTTGTAATGAAGGTATTGAAATGATATTGATATGCAATTATGGTTCAAGGGGAAAAAATATTTGCGTTCATTCCAAAGTTTTCTCTCCACTATTTATGTAAATTGTTTAGGAATTGTTCAGCTCTCACATTGCTGAAGCAAATGGTCATTTGATGCCAAATAAGATACTCATATGTTTGCAATTTTCCATTCTCAAATAAGCAGGGGCGGCGATCCGGGGGGGGGGGGGGGGGGGGGGGGGGGGGGGGGACGTGTTTAGGGGGGATCTTTCCCCCCTGAAAAATTGAAAAAGTGAGAAAAAAGTGTATAGCAAATACTGACTAAAGACTGTAACAAACTTTTAGGCTCTGGAGGGCCCTAGAGTGCAGCGTTTATACAAATAAAAATGCAAAAATCTTCCCGCATAATATTCTTCGAAGTGTACAGTAAATATTCTAGAAAAGTGAAGTGTGAAAAAGGTATATTGCTTGTTTTTATACTATTCTTTTGCTAATTAAAGTATGTAATTTGTTAATACAACAAAACTTCAAAAACCTGTGAGGGGATAGTCACTTCCGTAACCTCTACCCTCTTGTTCTCTTTGCTCTCTCGCCTTGGCCTTATGATGAGGGAGGGGGGGGGGGGGCTTGGGGGCAGTTGCCCCCCTAATAAAATTCAAACTTGATTTATTTCTAACTCGATACCAGTGATTTACAAATGTTGCTGAAATGGCATGGTTTTTCCCTGAGCTTCTGGGGGCTCTGCCCCCTGGACCCCACTAAGGGCCCTATGGCTGGCCCCTGTTTGCTCATCTGACCGTGATTGAATGCGTAAAACCCCGAGCTTCCGGGGGGTCTGCCCCCTGGACCCCACCAGGGTCTCTAAGACGAGCCCCTGGATGCTCATCTGACCGTTATTAAATGCCTAAAACCCCTGAGCTTCATGGGCCTACGCCCCTGGGCCTACGCCCCTGGACCACACGCCAATTGACGCTCCACTTGCTATGCTCGCTTTGCTCTACCTAATAAAATACTTTAGCCTCCCCCTCTTTGAAAAACATTCCACGAGGCCTGCATGTACAATGTTAGAGTGGGGATGCAGATTTTTTTTCCCCCCCCCCCAACGTTTTTGTTCGTTATACGCCACTGCTCCCCCTTCCCTCGCATTTCGTCCCCCCCGGTCATGAAAAGAAATCGCCACCCCTGCAAATAAGCATTACCGCCAATTATGTTATTAAATGTACTTCTTCTGTTTTGTCTTACACACTAAATAGATGGGCATTTTTAAGCACATTTTTTAAATGTTCTTGAAAATCTATTACAAAAGCTGTGTGTATCAACTACAGATCTATTTTCCTATGTTCATACTTGGTTATACAGTTTATATTAAAATAACCTAACAAATGTTACCATAATCATGTTTGGTGTTGGTAATTACTTCATGTGTCAACAAACACTACACGTTTCAAGTGTAATCAGTTTTTGAGAGGTTTCAAGAAATGTAAAGTGTTAGCAGCCCAAATTTTGTGGCAAAAATTAACACACACTTCTGCAAATATTTGTAAAACAATATGTTTGAAGATGAATATTGATGACAGAATGCCCTATTTGAGTTTACTGTTGTAGGCAGAAAACCCCAATTTCAGTTTCTTAAATTTTGCAGCAGTTTTTGTTTCAATATCACTTTATTAACAATCATGATTATAGTACATACAGTTGTATAGATACTACAAGTAGAAAAGAGAAGAAGCCCAGGTCATGTATTATTATTAACAATGCAGGGCTAATACTTCATATTATTCATACTGAAATTCGTGATGCATAATGTAGACAAATATTAACGGACACGTATAACATATCGTCTGTTTGGGGGTCACAAGGGCCCTGACTCCATGTCAAAGTAATACAGATCAATGCCACTGTGGCTCCAAACAGACAATGTTACATGCATTCAAAATGAATAAATAGAATTTAGAAACAATATACACATGTATGTGACTGATATGTGTAAATTACATTATAGAGAGAGAAACAAATTAATTTTATCTGAACTCTACATTCATAAAAAAAAGCTGTAGAACAAGTATGAATGATGAATTAAGCATAACAAGAAACAGGACCAAGAGGAATGATAGGAAGCAGAAGGAGAAGAAGAAAAAAAGAATGAGAGAGGAAAAGGGGTAGGGGAAGGAGAGAGAAAGAGGGGCAGAAGAAGAAAGAGAAGAAGAAAAATAGAAAGAGAATAAAAAGAAGGGAGAAAAGAGAAGAAAGGAAGAAAAGGAGGGATCAAGAAACAGGAAGAAAAAGAGTAAGAATGTGGAATATGCATTTATTAAGACTACAGAAGGCTGTGGCCCTCCCAACATGGCTTATCCTTAGAGCAGTATATTGAAAAGGAAGAAGTTACTGCAATCTTTGATACGGTGTAAAATACGTTCAGAAATTATACAGACGTGTCCTTGTAACAAACACAATCAAACAAGATCAAATAATTGGATCAAATTACCATACAAAATGAGTGCTTCAGAGCATGTTTGTGGCTTTTTGAAATGATGTTGCTGCATATAGAGTTTTGGCAAGAACTGGATTAGGAGTTGAATGATCATGATCGATGATCGTAACTTGGTCAACATCCCAATTAATTCCTAATTTAATTCTTCCTTTTCTTTCTACTGTGATTCACGAGAGACCAGACAGCTATAATAAAAAAAAATAGTGGACACAAGATATATCATTTAAACCATGAGCGTTTATTCAAATCTGTGCTAAAATCTAGCCGGGAAATATTCCAATAACAGTCACATGTTAACAATTAAAGGGATCGTTTAACAATGTTAAATCTGAGATACACGGCCCTACGTGTTATCAGTGTCTGTGATATGGTGTAATATTGAAGCCCTAAAAAAATTGCGCTTCAAAATGATCAAGAAGTGCCTCAAAAAAGTAAAAATCTTTGAGTGACCGGTTTTACCATACTCGTTTCCCCAATAGACTGTAGTGTTATGAAAACCGTCAGGCGAACGGTTTTCAAAATTTGTAATTCCAATCATAAATATCTTGATAATCAGACAGGCGATCGGCTTGTAAAAGTCATGGGGCTCCTGACTGACCTTAAGGTTTATAATTATCATTGCATCATGAGCTAAATCCAGAATTTTATTTCAGAATCTTAGACAAAGTTACCGGATCCCTTTAAGGTAGTCTATTTATAAAGCGAAAGACTGCCGCTTTTCAAATTACACTACATTATCATCAAACTTGTCAAATGCGTTGATGTTATTGTCAATGATGATGAACCGACGATGTCAAAGAAACAATTAGGGTCTATTCTGTCGATGACGACAAAGGTAGAGTTTCTGATGATCTCGAAGAAACAAGATTTGACGATGTGGAAAAGAAGACCCAAGTTTCTGACGATGTCGAAGAAACAAAAAGAGACGATGTGGAAAAGAATAGCAACATTTCTGATGATGTGGAAGGTAAGCGTAAATCCTGACCTTCAAACAAAGAACGGAAATTGACGGTGTAAATATACAAACTGGGGTTTGTAAACTGGGGCTTGTATACTGTCAAACAGAAAGATGGCGTGGTCTTCATACACAGAAACGATGTCGATGATGGCGAAAGTAAAGTTATCATGATGATTATGAACGAAGAAACGAATGGTCGATGTCAAAGGTAGAGTTCTGATGATGAATGAAGACGGAAGGTCAATGTTGACGATAAAAAAGGAAAATGGCGACCTTCAAACAACCAAAATAAGGTTTTCAGCGCAAAAGTGATGATGCAGGCAAGTCGGTCAAACTGTTGCTTTATTGATATATTGCCGAAACAACACAATACAAAAGAAATATCACTGGATACTGAATGGTGCCAAATAAGCAAAGGTCCTCCCGTTACCACTTTCTCCCATTGCCAAACAGTACTGTTGATCGATTAAATCCAATTGCGTCACATCTATTTCATGCTTGTAGTCAGTAGCTCCTGCAATAATAACATAAAGAATACATTTTTGATTACCGGTACACAGAGAAACAGAATTTAGACAATTATTTGGCAGAGAGATTTTCAGGATTGAATACAAGTTTGATTTTGCTCCAGAAGTTTAGATCTATCACTGCATCAGTGTCACAAATTATCAATTATCTCCAAGCTCCGATACAGTTTTACATATTGTTAGTGTTACCACGTACGGTTAACAGTCCGTGTCTGCATGCATGGGCCTGGCCATGTACAATTTTTGGTTTTATATTTCTTAAATAAATATCTTTCAAACCCTGCTCTGCAGTTGCAGTACCATCACTCTGGAAACAATATCCGACCTAGGCCACACATATAGTTTCCTCGAGTTGCGTCAACAAAGGGTA